TGTTGCATCATGACTTCCTCCTAGGTAGGGCCCAGCCCACGGCTATGCGTGGTACCTACGCACGGGCTCACCAAAGTTTTTTTCGGGTAAGCTCATAACTGGAGAACCTGTAAAGCTAAAAGACTATGTAACAATGGCGTGAAACTGCTTATATAAGGCCGCTGTTTCTGTGCTAAAGTACTGCTTTGTTGTGCTGTATTGCGCAGGTGGCCCCGATGATCAATGAAGGACACGGACCCAACTAGCTCGAACTATCGTCAAGGAGTCGACGATCCAGCCAACTACCTGAGGAGGTGCCAGAGCTCCGGGTCAGCCTGCTAGACTGCCAAAGTCTCAACCCAAAAAAACAGAACAGTTCAACTAACAAGTCTTGATTTTTACCTATTTTCCCACTATAGCAGCTCAATAAGAACTAAAATGTGGCTCCGGACATCTCATTAGCCATACCCTGGTTTCCTAAAGAATTCCCATACAAGTCTTTGTCCGTATCAGTTCTTCATTCCCCCCTCTTTACTTCCTCTCCCACTCTTCTGCTCATTCACTTACAACTCTCTTTCTTCCTCTTCTCCATCTTGCAAATTAGTTACATGACTATTCAAAACATGGCAGGTGAGAGGCTGTATTGACGATTCCCGCTCTTGCCCGCATACATAGTTCGATCTGTGTATACAGCTAAGGGATGAAACACAGACTTACGAGATAGTAAAATGTCCTTCGGTACACGACAATCAAGGCGAATCTTTCCATTCTACTATTTCCTAGGGGGAAAATGCTTCCCCATCGACAGTTACATTAGGCAGAATGATCGGTAACGAGTGGATTAAATATTCTTCTCCACACTGCCTTTCAACAAGTCATACGGTTTTGTGCTACATGAACAGCCCTACTATCTTTTCCATCATAATTTATTAAACTAACCCCATCCTAGGTTAAAATTTTCGGACTTTGGCCGTTCCACATTTTTCATGCTTTGGGCCGGTCGCTTTTTTCAGAGATCACGGCCCGGCCTATCAAAGACCCTAAATTATTTTAACAATCCTATCCCACCCTTCGTTTTAACTTTCTGACTCCGACAGTTCGTATTCTGCCGGCATTTTTTCATTTCACTTCACACGCACACACACAAACACTCACATACACACACATACGCATAGGCACACACACACACATATACACAAACAGGAATACACAGGCACACACATACACCAGGCAAACACACACAGGTACACACACATACACACATTAAATTCATAGTTTTTCAAGAAATTTCACTCACCTTCACCGAGATATTTCTGCACAAATTCACTTCCAACAACACGAATGAATGAGGCAGTCGTATGTGCTGCTACCGCTTTTGCGAGCATTGTTTTACCGCAACCTGGTGGACCGTACATTAGTACACCTCGTGGTGGATCAATGCCAATCTGGAAATGGAAAAATGAACAAAAATACATTAGGTCTCAACAAAAAATTCTTCATTTGACTGAATTTTAATAAAAAAACTAAATCCGAAATCCAACCCATCGGAGCAGTACAATGAATCGATTTT